CTCCCTTCCTCCCTCCCTCCCTCCCTCCCTCCCTCCCTCCCTCCCTCCTTCCCTCCCTCTCTGGCTGTTGCAGGACCCTGCACCTCCCTAGTTCCCTGGGTGAAGCACACACTGGCATTTTTACTGTGTATTTCTGTTTATTCTGTTTTCTTCCGTGTTATTCTGTTTCAGTTCTTCAGGTTGTGTGACTTGAAGGGATGGTTCATTTCAGCACCCAAGGGGTACACTGATGGCACTGCCCATGGCTGGGTCCTGATGTTCAGTTAGGAAACGGTTCTCAGTCAGTACTCTGCGTTCTGCTGTATGTTCTGTCTTTAAATTTTAATATGGAGAATAAGCTTATGTGCCATCTCTGTGGTTTTTAGTTAAAAATAAAGAAAGGGGCACATCGGGAAAATAGGAAACAATTCCAATTAGATTTTTCTGGAAGTCAGTCTAGCAACATGCTATAAAGCACGTCTGTCTGTGAAGCTGGTCCCCAGCGCTGACTTAGCTATTTCACGCCAGGAAGTGTGCGGTGCCCTGGACAGAGGGGCAGATTTTGTGGCCTTTGGAGTGCCTACCCAGACTGATGTCCTTGGCTCTCCTTGTGGCACTGTTCAAATCTCAGTTATTGATATAGAAAGAAGGAGATTATGAGAGGCAGGGTGGGTAAAAGTTGATGGCGAGTTTCAAAGATGGGATCTGCATTTGCTTTTAAGATCGATATATACAAGTGTGGACAGTACACAGGCAGGGAGGGTATAGCAAGTAGGTTTTATTTTATTCAGGATTTTCTTTGTTTTCTGTAATGAGTACGCATTATTTTAATGAGAAAAGGATATTCTTTTTTTTCCAGGAAAAATGAAAAAAGCAAGAGTGAAGGAAGAGAAAGGAAAGAAAGAAGAAAGGAAGGTGGAAGGAAGAAGGGTGTTGAGACTCCATTGGAGCTGAGGTGGGGGTTGAGGGGAGGGCGGGAGCCTTTAGGACACACCGAACTCTCCCAGCGGTGGCCCGGACGCTTGAGAAAGCCCTGTTTTGCGATCATACCCAGACAGGGGTTGCTTGAGGAGACCCTCAAGTGACCAGTGGGGACCCGGATTAGCCCGGTGGAGCCTCTGCGAGGCAACTGTGTTCTTAGGGCGGGTTCTGCCCAGCTCCAGGCGGCAGCTCCGCCGCGTTCTCTGTGTTTATTCTTCCTGAGGTTTTGGGATGAGAAGTGCGCCCGGCGGGGGGGGGGGGGGGGCCCCCGGTGTCGGGGGCGGGGGGACGCAGAAATACCATCTGTGCTGATTTTTTCCTTAAAAGTTATTTTTCAATTGAAGTATTTTCAAAGCAAAAAGTATATATAATAAAAAGTAATTCACCGATGTTAGTGTATCAGTTCCAAGCGTTTTCAGGGAAGAGCGCGCTCTGGGGTGGGGGAGCAGGGACTGTCCGGGGAACCAGGGGCAAGCTGACTGGGCAAGGGCCTGTCTTCCATCTTGCCTGTCTCGTCCTACTCATCCATGCGCGTGCCTTGCATCAAGATTTGTGCCATACGTCCCAATGCCCCCGGGGCTCAGACTGCTCAGGGTTCACAGCCCTTTCACCCGGACCTCAACTCTGGCCTAAGAACCCCTCTTTTCATCTCACTTTTTTTTTTTGCTAAGATGTCACCAGCAAAGTGAGGTGTGGGGCGCGTTGATCTCTCGTGTCTGTGGAGCCTCCTTCTACTCAATCCGGGAGCTGCGAGCTGCCGGGGAAAGACTGAGGAAGAGCCTTGCGCGAAATCTCCTGGCCACGACTCTACAGGGATGGACGCCAGCTGCGACCTCCCTCTCCACCCTCCTCCGCCGCTGCTCTTTCCCATCCTCCTCGTCTTCTTCTCTGCTTCCCATTTCCAAGCAGAATGAGGGGTGGGCGGCAGTACGGTTTGGCTAAGAAAGCGGGAGGAGAGGTGTCCTGGGCGCGGGCATCCCCCAAACATCCCCCATCCCTAAGTGAGCTGTGCCTAGTAACTGAGCCGCTGTGCCCCGGTGCGCCTTTCTAGTAGCACCTCCTAGCAAACTGGAGGGTTAGTCGCAGACAATTCCACAAGTGCGACCCAAGGACCTGGGCCAGGGGAGCAAGGGCAATCCAGGGGGCGGAAACTTAAGTCTTTGGCGGTTCAGAGTCCCTTTCGCATCGCACAGCGCACTTCTCCCAGCATTGCCCTAAGCTGGAAGTTAGACGGCTCTGTAGCTGTTCTAGTATCTGTCTCTGAGTGTGTGTGTATGTTTGCGCGCCGGCGCGGACACGCGCAGAAGCAAAAGAGGACCCTCTTGCTTCACCGCTCTCCTCGTGGGCCTCTGCATCCCAGGTCTTCTGGCCCCAAGTTCTCTGCTCAGGTGTGGCACATGTACCTATGTCTGCGGTCCCAGGGCGAATCCCTTCCCATAGCATCCAACTCTCGTACCCCCCACTGCAATACCTGGGCTCTTTCCCGCTGCTCTTCCCCCAGAGTCACAATGGGGACGCAAGGGAAAACTTGGTGCTTTATTCTTCTTGCTTTTTCAGAGACACGAGAAAATAAAACGGACCAAGGCAATCAGAACAACTTCCTTCAAGTTTTTATTATTGTAGTTTAAAAGTTTATACACAAGGAATGTTTCCAACACAACACTCATTGACAGTTCTTCACCCCCCGCCCCCGCCCCCAATCGCGGCTCTCTGCCTAGGGCTCCCAGGCTCTCCCCATCCCCCTTTATTCGAACTAACTAACCTCCTACCCCTTCTCCAAGGAGTTCTAGCCTCTGGGGCCGATACCTCAAGCCACTTCCTTTGGTCCCTCTTCCACCCCATTTTTGGCGGTTCAGTTATGGAACCCAGAGCATTCTCCCCCTCTTACTTTAGGCGCTGTTTTAGAGCCCCCCTGCAATTCAGAGCCAACCCGTGGACAAGTCCAGTTAGAGACGGTTCGTCATCAGCAGCCGGGCTCCAGGGCACCCAAAGCTAGGCGGGGAAAATACCCTGCCCACCCTTTCCCTATCCTGAGTCCCTCCTCCAACTCAGGGACAAGAAATAAACACAAGAGCAGCAGGACTCCCCGCGCGCGCGCGACAGGTGGGTGCCAGGCAACTAGCAAGAGCCTGTGGCGCTGCTGGAACCCAGCTGCGCTCCGGGCGCGCGGGCGTGGCTAACAAGTCAGAGAGCTGTGAGATGCTAGGGACTGTCCTGCATTGCTGAAGGAGCGCTGGGAGCTGGTGTGAGAAAGTCCAGCAGGTAAGCTCCAACAGGGACAAAGTAGCCAGCCACAGCAATGCTCCCTAGAGCAAGTCAAGCAGGTACAAATGGGAGTCACTATAGCAGAGTCTTTAGGTGGCTGAGAGCCAGACTCAGCCAGCCTGAGTTCTGTGGCTGTGCGCATCTGTGGCATGGGCACCCAGATACTCTTGACTTCATTTGTAGCACTGGCATGTGGACTTCGAAGGCCTAGCTCTCCAACGTCAGACACTTGTCCCTGGGCTATTTAGAATCGACGTGGCCTTGTACCATGCAACTGCTCATCATAGTGCTCCAGCCAAGTGCGAAGCTCAGACACCTGGTACCCGTCGGGGCCACGGCCTCCCTGGTACATGATGGTGCCACTCTGGATGACATAGAGGCGCTCAAAATAGGCACCGTATGCGGAACTGCTGGAGTTGGCCATGGTGTCCAGGACCAGAGCACAGCCAGGTGCACCTTGCTGAAGTACCCTTGCCGCGCTGACACGGTCCTCCAGGCTACGGTGCTGTGGAATGGTGTAGGGTGAATCTGTGGTGACCCAGCCGTCGGATGGGTGGGCTTCCTCGATGTAGATGATGAGAAAGTCAACATCACGTTGGTACTTGGTGACCAGGCGCTGAAAGGCGCTCATTCGCGCCATGAACGGTGGTCAGGTACAGCTGCCAAAATTGAGAACCAGTGGGCGGCTCCCTTGCGCATAGTCAAGGATGCGCTGGCTCTGGAAGCTATCAGGTCGGATGACCTCGGAGTTAGGCGCAGGGCCACCCTCGTGGGCCTGCTTGAAGAAATCCAACTTCTGGCCATGCCACACGGCCTTGAGAGAGGCCAGGGTGCACAGACGGTTGTCGTCTGATACGCAGATGGGTGGGTCGTCGGGGGGCATCTCCTCGCCTTCACTGTTGAGCTCTACTTCGGGCTCAGGGTGGTCAGGATGACGACGACGCAGGAAATGCTTGCGGATGCACAAGAAATCTAAAAGCCAGAGCATGAAGGCTGTGCCTAGGAAGCGCGGGAACAGCACGAGGCACGAGGCGGTCTGGGCGCAGAGCCTCAGAGAGTGAAGCAGCAGGGAGCGGAGCATGGTGGCCGCGGGCCCCGAAGCCCCCGGGGGTCCTTCACCTTCTCCCACCACCAACCGCGAGGCGGCCTGGCGAGGCATCTGGTCTTCGATGGCGCAGGGAGCTCAATTTATAGCCAAAGCTTGAATTGGCGGGAGACTCCACCTCCGGCCGGGGCCCGCCCCCTTGCAACTTGAGCCCGGAGGGATCACCCAGAGGCGCGGCCAATGCCCCAGAAATCCTGGGTCGAGGGCCGGCGTAGGCTGGCTGA